GGGCTCTCAATCTCGATCCGCTGCGTCGGTGACAATTGAGAGTCCCTGCTTAAGCTTGAATAAACGACCCTCGTGTGCTTACATCGGAAACGGTCTCCTGGTGGTCTTTGGGACATCGCGATCTGGGCACAACAGTGTCACGGTGGCCCTCAGTGCCAGGGGAGTGACAAGAACACCAGGATTCGTGATGTTCCTAGGAGATCGCCTGCTCCGAGCATAGGTCGCACTTTATCCTGGGGAGATGGACACATCCCTTGTAACGAACGGCCTTCAGCTGCCTATCGCTAGAATTAGGTAAATTATGAAGAAAATGCCTCTAGGTAAAATGGTGTATTCGGGCGAGAAAAGATGGGAATTTGCAGAAGGAAACAAAGGAAGCACTTGAACTGTGCTAAGGGCTTCAGCAAAGAAGGACAAAGAGAGTCTCATCTCTAGACTTTTTGACCAGGCAGCCAGAGAAGGTTAAATGCAAAAGAGGCAACAGTTTATTCTTACTGGTTGTTTTTTTACTTTTCAAACTAATCCTTCATGGAAAATAACTGTAATACTATTTCATCATTTTTTGCTTTAGAGTTATTTCACTTTTTAAAAAGAATACCATTTTATTAACTAAAAAAAAAATGAAAAATGACACAATATTTAAGCTTACTCATCTTGATTTATTTCTCTTTACATTAGGGTCTCAAGGTGCATCCATTTTCCTACAAATGACTCAAGTTTATCCTTCTTTATGCCAGTGTAGTCCTCCATGGTGTGTAAATACCACACTCTATCCATTCATCTGCTGAGTGACACAGAGGCCATTTGCAAGATTCAGCTACTAAAAGTTGTGCTGCTATAAACATAGGCATCCATGTATCTCTGTAATATGATGTATAACTCAGGAAGGTACCCAGAAGGGGAACAGCTGGTCAAATAGAATTTCTAGTTTATTTCTTTTGCAGAATCTCCATACTGATTTCTACTATTAAGCAATTCATCTCAGCCCCTCCAGAACCTGAGACACACAAATGACATGAAGTGTGGCCACTGTGCCACAAGGGGGCACTGTCTGGCCGCAAGTCTGTAAGGTGCTACTGGCTCAGGTGGTTTCTGAAGTTGACAGAGAAACCTTACAGCACTCAAATATTTCTAACAACATTAACAGTATCATCTATCCCTATAAGAAACTGTAACCATTATTATCTTGCTGAATAACTTCTGCCCTTTACAATAACCTGGCTAGGAGCTGTTTTCAAACACAAGTCCTTGGGGCTCATGATTTAGCTCAGTGGTTCCAGTGCCTGCCTGGCAAGCACAAGTTCCCTAGTTCGATCCTCAGCCCCAAAAAAAAAAAAAGAAAAAAGAAAAAAAAAAGCAAGTCCTTGGCCTGTGGTCATTTCACACCACTGGGCAGGCCTCTGTAGGATAAATTCCTCCAATTCCCCTTCTGGGAAAAGATCTCTCTCTCTCTCTCTCTCTCTCTCTCTCTCTCTCTCTCTCTGTTATTTGACACAGGCTGGCCTATTTCAACAGGTAGGGTCAGTTGCTCTCCAGGGAGATAATATATGGAATGACTTTTCCCATCGCCTTGGAAATGGTTTTCAAGCTAAGAGTTGTAAAAACCAAGGCAGGAGGATCACCATTAGTTCGAGGCCAGCCTGGGCTACACAGTGAGTTCAAGGCCAGCCTGAACTATACAGCGAGAGTCTGTCTCAAAAATAAATAAATAAAAAGATAAAAGGAAAAGAAAACAAGGCTTCAGACTGAGCAGTGACATGGGTCCTATGGAAGGCCCAAAGGCCCCTGGGCCCACGTCTCCTGGTTTGGGGCCACCCCAGCCTGTGGGTGCTGAGGATGCTCCTCCTGCCTAGGTCCCTGGCCCAGCCCAGCACGGGCTTGGCATGGAGTCCGGGCTTTCAGACATCACATTTAGAAGGCCGGAATCGGTGCCAGGGGACACAAGGGGTGCCCGCCATGGTGACCTTCAGAACAAGCCCTGCTGCTTGTGGGGGCCCCGGGTAGCACTCAGGGTGGGGCTGCGGCTCACTGAGGTGGCCCCACCTGGACCTGCTCCTCCCCATGGCACTCGAAGCACCACTGCTGTGACCCCAGCCCACTTTCCGGTTGCTACGGTTTCTACAAATGTCCCCCCAATGCCTCACGTGCTCATAGGCAGGGCTTTTGGGGGTGATTCACATGGGGGGTGGGGGCTACAGTGGAGCCTGGTGGGAAGAGGCAGCTACTAGGCTGTGACCCGCAAGGACACATCTCCCTGCGACCCGGAAGACACATCTCCCCCTGCCCAGCTCCACCCTTCCCTGCTGTGAGCAGGCCTCCAGCGGGCCCCTCTGCCATGCCGTTTTCTCTCCTCCTGTAAGCTATGGGTGTCGGGCATTGTGTCCCAGCCAGGAGGAAAGCAACGAAGCCCTGGGAAGGGCCAGCAGTGAAGGGCAGGGATGGAGAAGCCCTGGGGAGTTACCAACTCGCCTGCCCACCTCTTCTGTTGACCGGAACCTGACCTTCATCTTGCTTCCAGGGAGACAGTGGGCGCCGGCCCTGCCTCCAGCCGCCCTGCTGTCTGTTCTGACACCATGGTCAGGTGAGCCTCCTGTTATCAGGGAGGACATCAGCAGAGGGCTGAGGACAAGGAACATGTGGTCCGGATACTGGCCCGTCTTCCTCTGCAGCGGAACACAGTGATGCGGGTGAGGTAGGCAGTGCCACCGTGGGACGATGCGGCCAAAGCGCTTTCCTTATATGAGCTCATGGAAGTCCTGCAGCAATCCTAAGAGCTCACACTCTACTCCCATTTCACAAATGAGCAAACTGAGGCAGTGAGAAGTTAGGGGCTTGTCCAAAACCACATGGGAAGCGAGCGGCAGGACAGGGCAGGGAGCCGCCTCAACGCGATGGTCACTTCAGCCCTGAGGTCGCTGGTAACTAACAGTTGCTCAGATAGTTACTGGGTGGATGCAGCGGGCAGAACAGCTATGGACAAGAGGCCTCCCGAGGGGAGGAACGCTGTGTTGCCTGAATGGTCAGGATATGCAAAGGGATAATCGCCTAAGGGAGACCAAAGCCAGTGCACCAAGGAGTCTAAGCTGGGCGCGGTGGACTGGAACCAAAATCAATATAACCAGGAACAGACGGAGAAAAATAGATCATGAAACTAAACGCTAGTTCCTTGAGAAAAAGAATTTAAAGGAGAAGTTAAATCTTTAGCCAGACAGATCAGAGAGAAAGAGAAAAAAGAGAAAGAGAAAGAAAACAAGAAAAGAAAAACTGAACACGGTGACATGTCTATATTTCTGGCTACTCTGGAGGCTGAGGCAGGAGGATCACTTGAGCTGGGAGTTCCAGGCCAGCCTGAGCAGCATAGTGATGGGCCTTCTCAGAAAAAGGGGGGAAAAACTCTTTATGTCAAAAAAACAAACTCAGAAAGCCGAGCAGGGCTGGGCAGAGGCCGGAGGAGGCCAGCAGGTCCCCGCTTCCTGGCCTCTGGGACTGGCTCCACGGAGAAGGTGCCTCGGGGAGCAGAGGTCCTTGGGAACAACCGAGTCATGAGGAGATCACAGTCGTCCAACACACCTCAGAGCCACTGATCCAGCACACCAGGCTCCAGCCCGCTCAGCTTCCACGAGGAAGGTGGGCGGGTCTAACCGCAGGCCACACTCAAGCCTGGCACCGTTTCGTGGGCGCCCACATCGCTCCTCCAGAAGTGCCTGGACCACCTGGACCCACCCATGTGGATGTGTCACTGGGCACAGCTAAGGGCAGACCCCTTTTGCACCCAGAGATGACTTTGGGATTGGTGAAAACATTCCTCTCAACGCTCGGGCGCGGGGAGCATCTCCTCCCACTTGGGGGCGCTCCGGGGTCCCACAGCCGCGCAGCCCGGCCGCACGTGTTGGGTGTCCTGGCAGGGCGCCTTTCCCGAAACTTCTCTCCCACCTCTTAAGCGAGCAGGACCGCGCTGCAGAAGCGGCGACTTCCCCGCAGAGGCAAAAGCGAGCGTTTGCATCTTGCCGCTGACCGCGCGCTCGCGCCCAAGAGCCTGACTCCGCACTCGTTCCTCTGGCTTTGGGGGTCTCCCCAGATCGCTGCTTCCGTCCAGCCGCCGGACCCGGGGCCCCTGCAGACTGTGCCCGCCGCTGTAGCTCTGGAGCCAGCGCGGCTCAGCCCGGGGTCGGATCCAGACCCGCGGGAGGCGGACCCGGAGTCGGGCGTCCCGAACTTCTGGAACACACGGCCCCTCCCGGGGGCGGGACCGCGCGGCCTCGCTCCCCAGGAGCCGGAGCCCCGGGTCCCACAGCTCCTTGTGCACGGCCACTCTGACGCTGGCCGGGTGCACTGCCCGGGCCGCGGTCCACGCGGTACCCATCGCTGCTTCCCAGCCATGTCGTCCTGCAGCCGCGTGGCGCTGGTGACCGGGGCCGACAAGGGCATCGGCTTCGCCATCACCCGCGAGCTCTGCCGGCGGTTCTCCGGGGACGTGGTGCTCACCGCGCGGGACGAGGCGCGCGGCCGGGCGGCGGTGCAGCTGCTGCAGGCCGAGGGCCTGAGCCCGCGCTTCCACCAGCTGGACATCGACGACCTGCAGAGCATCCGCGCTGTGCGCGACTTCCTGCGCAGGGAGTACGGGGGGCTCAACGTGCTGGTCAACAACGCGGGCATCGCCTTCAAGGGTGGGTGAAGGGCGCGGAGCGGGGGTCGGGGTGTCCCTAGGGCCCTCCGAGGGTGCAGAGCCGGGAGCCGCAGGCGACCCCTGGCGTGGCCGCGCGGGCGGTGCCAGCCCGGGGGACGCGCCCAGCGCGGCGGGGCGGTTTCGCGCTCAGTAGCTCGGACTCGCCGCCTGCCCTTGGCCTGTGCGGGCCTGTGCGCCGCCCGGGCCTCCCACACTTCCAGCTGGGGCTGTTTGCGAGAACCCTGGCCTCCTGGGAGCGGGACCGCGCCTTGCTAAGTCATCAGCTTTGTTTCGTCCAAGAACCATTTTCCCTGCCAAGGGTCTCCAAGATCTCCCTGCGCTTTCGCTTTCCGGGTGAACAAGCGCGCGCTCATCCCTGCGCTCTGTCCTGGACAGGAAGTGGGTCGCTGGGACCCAGCTAGCGCGCACTTGCACACGAGTGCATTTCGTACTTTGTTGCTTGGAGGGCTTTGATAGGCTCTGGCAAAAAGGAAGCCAGCGATTCTTGCCTCCAGGGGGCCAGCCTAAATTAGCAAACACCAGTGTGGTTTTAAGAAGTCACTCCCTTTGGGGGGCAAAATCAAGGCGACTTCTTTTTTTTTTTTTTTGGTACCGGGGATCGAACTCACATCTTTGCGCTTGCGAGGCAGGCGGCAGAACCACTGAGCTAAACCCCCGGCCCGCGACTTCTTTTTTTTAACTGGGATTCAACTCAGGATCTTGCGCTTGTGAGGCAGGCTCAGTGCCACTAAACTAAATCCCGGCTAGGAGACTTCTTATTCTAACAACTGCTCAGGTAAGTTACTGCGCTGCCTTGTGCTGGGACTGGAAAGAAATAAACAGGGCAGCTTCGGTACAGGCATGGGACAAGACCTTACAGGAAACCATTGTAGAGCAGAGGTCTCAGCCTTCCACCTTCCTCTCACACCTCCAGCTGTGGGCTTTGGGGAGTTGGGGACCTGAGAGGTGACAAGCCCTGGGGCGCCCTGAGCCCTGGACAACAGGCAGAGGAAGCTGTGTGCCCTGGGAGCCCTGCCCCTCAGCAACCCGGGCCTTCACTGCCCCCACAGCATTCTGTCACATTCCCCAATCGCCACTTGCACCTTCCAGGCTGAGACGCAGTGGCCTGGCCAGGTGGCTGCAAGCCCAGTAGCTGCAGCCCCACCCGTAAGAAAGTCTGGGATGCAGCCAGAAAGCTGTGTTTCCACAGGCCCTGCAAGTGATTCCGATGCACCTTGAAGTTGGAGAACACTGCCCAGTGGTTTAAGATTGTTTTAAAGTGAGTTTGTGGGGCCGGAGATTTAGCTCAGGGGTTTCAAACAACAACAACAACAACAACAACAACAAAAATCCAGTCTGCATAAGGACACCAGTCAGAGAGCTTCAGAGCCCACACTAAAGTTAGCTTGTTTGCCAGATGTAGTGGCAAACACCTGTATCCCAGGACTTGGGAGGCAAAGGCAGGAGGATCACTGTAAGTTTGAGGCCACCTTGGGCTACACAGTGGGTTCAAGGCCAGCCTGGAATATATAGAGAAACCCTGACTCAAAAAATAAAGTTTGGGGCCAGGGATTTAGTTCAGTGGTTTCGCCCCCTGCTGCCCAAGCGCAAGGACCCAAGTTGGATCCCCAGTAGTGAATAAAGTTTGCTTGTTTCTTCTTTAATTGATTGTAACACATTAAGATCCATGCATGAATTTCAGGGGAAATGTATGATTCTTTCTGTCTCTTCTCTCTGAAAGTGGATGACCCAACGCCCTTCGACATTCAAGCTGAGATGACGCTGAAGACAAACTTTTTCTCCACTAGAAACGTCTGCACCGAATTACTGCCCATTGTGAAGCCACACGGTAAGTCTGGGGATGACCATTACACGGGCAGCTCAGGGAGGAGGAAGCCGGCAGCCCCCGTGGAGCCGTGCACAGAAATCACCCAGTGTTGCTATTTCTTTGTAAGGGGGAGAAATAGAAAATTGCTTTGTTTTCTCCTCGTGTCTTGCTTCTTATGTGAACCCCGGGTTCCACATCAGGACCTCAGCCCTGGAGGACAGGATGTGAACGACCCTGGAGGCCTTTGGCTGTCATCGGCCTCAGTGAGTCTTTCTCCAGGTCGCCAGGATGGCCCCTCCTGGCTCCTCCAGGGACCCAGGATGGCATCCGAGAAAGCATCAGACTTTGCCCGTATAAGCCTTTTTTGGTTTGGTTTGGTTTTGTTGAGACAAGACTCACTGTGTAGTTCAGGCTGACCTGGAACTCACAGTGATCCTCCTGCCTCAACCTCCTGAGAGCCGGGATTATAGGTGTGCAACACCACACCCAGCTCCTTTTGAGAGGGGGACTGAACCCAGGGTCTTTGCACTGAGCTACATTCCTAGCCTTTTTGAGAGAGGGTCTTGCTAGAGATGCCTTTACCAGGTTATCAGAAAGTCCTCTCCCCAGTGAGTTTTATAATCATAGAATTTGAGAGCCAGCTGGGTGTGGTGGTGAAAACCTGTAATTCTAGCACTCTAAGAGGCTGAGCAACTTCGTGACTTAGGGAGACCCCCTTTCAAAAGGGAGGGGAGAGACATAGCTCAGTGCAAAGGCCCTGGGTTCAAACCCCCATCCCAAAAAAAGGTTTTCTGAAAGCTGCACAATACTGCTGAAACCGCGTGTTGCTCCACTTTACAGAGAGGGGCCCTTGAGGCCCAGAGAACTGAATGCAGCAGGCAGTGACAGAGCTAGAAACTCCCCACTTTATTTGCTCCTCAACCAAATTCAAATACCTAAAGAAAGGAGCTTGAGGGCAGCAGATGCTGCAAACCAAGCCTCTGGAGAGCTCGCGAGCAGCTCTGGGAGGGGGTTGGGGACTGACTTGCTGCCTTCAGTCAGTTCCTAACCTGACTCTCCAAACGGGAACCTCCACTTTACCACACATGGAGAATATCTGTGACTTTTCTTTCTTTTCTGTTTTTGAAGTACTGGAGGTTGAACGTAGGGTTTTCACACTGAGCTACATCCCCGGCCCCCTTTTTATTTTTGAGTCAAAGTCTCACTAAGTAAATTACCCACACTGGGCTTGAACTTGAGATCTGTCTGCCTCAGCCTCCCAGAGTGCGTGAATTACAGGTGTGTGTTACCATGCCCAGCTATTTGTGACTTTTCAATAAAACTCACGTTTACCTGAGGGGCAAAATGCTGAGGATCATTAAAATTTCATTTTTCTTTGTTTTGCTTTAAAACATTAAAGAGCTGGGTATGGTGGCACACACCTGTAATCCTGGCACTTGGGAAGCTGAGGCAGGAGGATGGCCTCCAGTTCAAGGCCAGCCTGGGCTACTTAGTGAGTTCAAGGCCAGCCTGAACTACAAAGGAAGACCTTGTCTCAGAAAAACCAAAAATCAAAATTGGCTTGTTGTGTGTTCAAGGCCTGCCACTAGGGGGAGCTACTTGCCTGCTCTTTCTAGAATGAGGCTGACCCAGTAGGTCTAGGGCCCCAGAAGGTGGTGCTGGTGGGGTGGGTGCTGCCTTCTCAGGCGGAGTGAATCCCGGATGGAAACTGTGAGGAACATAATTGGGACAATTGGGGACATTCAAATACCACTCGCGATGCTCGCGTTGTAGGGTAATAAAAGCCTGGCACCTGATCGGCACTGTGGCCGCCTAGGGGCTGCCCTTGTCCCCAGTGCAATCCGCCTCTGCGTCCTCTGCTCCGAGTCTGTGTTCAGCCATCTACGGACTGAAATATCGGGGGGGGGGGCGCTACATCTATACCGAACACATAGAGCCAGTTCTTCCTGCCATTATTCCTTTAACAACACATCAGCTATTCACATGGCGTTACCTTGTGTTAGGCTTTGTAAGTGAGCTGGAAATGACGTCGGCATCCAAGAGGCTGTTCCCGAGCTGATGCAGATACTGTGCCATTGCGTGGAAAGGACTGAGCGTCCGGAGCGGGTGCTGCCCTATCCCTCGCAGCCCACCGGAAGTGCTCACGTATTGAAGGCCAAAGTTCATGGCGTCTGCAATTTAGGAAGGAGAAAGCAAATGTGTCAAAATGTTGGCAAGGGGGGAGCTTAGATGGGCGTTTATTGAAGTAAGAGTCAGGAAAGGCCTGTGTGTTACCACTGCAAACGAGAGTCTTGAACGACTGCAGGGCGCGCGGTACCTGAGAGGGAAGGAGGCGCTGGTTCCCGCGGCGGACTGAGGCTCTCTCCACGGGGGACTGGGCCCGAGAGGGTGTCCAGGGAGAGGCGTGCGCCCAGGATGTGTGCTGCACAGAGGCAGAGGCATTCCGAGAAGGAGGAAAATCCAGGGAGCCCGCTCGACACAGCGCACAGTGCCTTCCGAATAACACGTGAGAAGATCAGCACTCCACAGCGATGTCGTGCAAATTCCCCCTTCCTGGTTTTCGGATTCCCGGCTGTGCTTCCAGCTGCTGTGGAGTCCATGTCCCGCACCATGCGTGGTTGTCGTTTGGGAGCTGTTAATTAGTAACGGCATGGATATCAAGTCAGATCATCTGAGGGAACAGGAACGAGTTACTACTGTAAACTGACCTTGAATAGGATCAGAGCTGGGATGAGAACCAACCCAGTCCGGGTGGGGAAGCGGCAGACACTGAGGACAGGCACCGCCTAGTCCTGGTGTAACTCCCAGGATCCCGAGGCAGTGGAGCCACCCTGGGGAGTGGAGGACTTAGTCCTGGGGAAGGGGCTGAAGCTTCTGGGAGGCAGGGCCACAGCACCTGGGGTGTGGATGTCGGGGTGAGTGCAAAACTGCCTGGGGTGACTCTGCTGCAGACTACAGTTCCAGCCAGCTCGGAGAACTGCCCAGGAGGGAGCTCCTTTACTGGCAGGGATCTGTTCTTCCCCTGGGAGCGCGCGCGCACGCACGCACACACACACACACACACACACAATCCCTCTCCTGCAGATTTTATCCCTTCTAGTGTCACCTTTTGTTTTGTTTTTTTGGTTTTGGTGTTTTGAGACAGGGTCTCACTATGTAGTCCAGGCCGGCCTCAAACTCTAGATGATCTCCTGCCTCCGCCTCCGAGTGCTGGGATTACAGGTGTGCACTACCACACCCAGGTACTTTTTTTTTTTTTTTGGTATTGGGGATGGAACTCAGGCCTTGCGCTTGCGCAGCAGGCCATGAAACCACTGAGCTAAATCCCCGGCCCTAGTTTTTGTTTTTATCAACAATCAAACCTGCATCCTGCCTCAGTTGTGTGTTTGATACCAGGGGTGATCAAGATATATGGGAAACGGGCCAGGGATTTAGCTCAGTGGCACCACGCCTGCCTCGCAAGGGCAAAGTCCTGCATTAGATCCCCAGTAACAACAAAAAAAAACCCAAACAAAATGAGGGAGAATATTTGGCAGAGAATTCATGGCACTGTGTCTTTTACTATACCAATTTTTAAAATTGCTTTTAAATATTCACTGTACTTTTCGATCACATGTCATTCACTAAGGACCACTTCTCCATGACACAATCTATCTTTGTCTTCTGCCTCAGGGAGAGTGGTGAACATCAGCAGTTTGCAGGGCTCCAAAGCTCTTGAAGACTGCAGCGAATCCCTGCGGGAACGGCTCCAATGTGACGCACTCACGGAGGGGGACCTGGTGGACCTCATGAAAAAGTTTGTGGAGGATGCGAAAAATGAGATGCACAGGAGGGAAGGCTGGCCTGACTCGGCTTACGGGGTATCCAAGCTGGGGCTCACGGTCTTGTCAAGAATCATGGCCCGGCGGCTGGATGAACAGAGAGGGGCCGACAGGATCCTGCTGAATGCCTGCTGCCCCAGGTGGGTGAGGACAGACGTGGCCGGGGACGAGGGCTCCAGGGCCTCGGAGCAGGGGGCCGAGACGCCCGTCTACTTGGCCCTCCTCCCCCCAGATGCTACAGAGCCCCACGGCCAGCTCATCTGCGATAAAGTTGTGCAGCACTGGTGAGTGCCTGCTTTGGAGCTATGCCCTTTCCATTGGCCGTGTGCAGTAGGCCATCAGTCCATGCAAGGCAGGGAATCCTCCCACACATGCTGCTTCTTGGCCCTCTGTACCTCCCCTTCTGGAGCTTGACGCCTAATAAATGTCAGTGGAAGGAATAAATGAATTCTGATGCTGGGGCTGGACTCTCTTTCTGCTGCGGAGAAGGAACAAATGCCCATTAAACTCTCCCCAGGAGAAGGACATTCAGTTCCAGGACCCACCTGAATGGTCTTGCTGTGCATGGGAGCCTCAAACCTTAGCCGGCACTATGACACCCCCCCCCCCCGCACCCTGGGAGGCCTATGGAAACAACCTGGCAGCCGGTCATGCTGGTGCACGCCTGAAATCCCAGGTCCCTGGGCAGCTGAGGCGGGAGGATGTAAAGTTTGAACTTGGCCTTTAGCTCAGTGGCGCTGCGCCTGCCTGGCAAGTGCAACGTCCTGAGTTCGATCCCCAGTTCTGGGGAAAAAACAAAACAAAACAACTCTATTCTCAGGATAATGATTTGTTTTGTTTTGCTTTGCTTTTTGAGACAGGGTCACACTATGTGGTTCAGGCTGGTGTCAAACTCGTGGAGATCCTCCTTCCTCAGCCTCCTGAGTGCTGATCTTCATTATATTTTTGTTCATTGTATTTATTGTTTCTGTCAGAAGACAAAATTACAACGTTAAAAATCTGGCATGGGGTGACACTTTATTCTGTAAAGTAGCATGGGTGTTCTTAGGAGCTAAGCACAGGAGGTTGGTTTTATAGATGGAAAGGGGCTGATGAAAGCAGAAACAGAAAAAAACAAATTGCTTGTTTTTCCAGAAAGGTTAAAGTAGACAGCTGTCTAACTCTGGGCGGTTAGGGATTTAGCTATTATCTCCTGATTGCTGATTGGTCCGACAACGTAGCTTTGCTTTGGCAATGTGGTTCTTTAACATGAATGACGCCATTTTGGTTTGACCCATTGGTCCCAGTGCAGGAGCTCCACCGAAACCAATGGCCTGCTGTGCATTTTATTTAAGCAGTGGAACTTGGAGAACTCGGGAGACATGGTTTTGTTGTTGCTGTTGGGACATGATTTCTTCTGTACTGGGCTTTGGCTTCTGCCCAGGATGTCTGTCACCCCTTCATCTTGCTGGTGCCTTGGCAGCCTTGCACCTACCAGAGTATGTCTGCTCCTGGACCAGGTCGCTGACCCCTGAGTGCGTTTTTGTCCCTATGACAAGGTGTGAGCCCACAGCCACAGCCTTCCAGTGGGGTTGCTTTTGTGAACAGGTCTCTTGAGTTCCAGTTATACTCTATAGAAAGGGACTCCAAGACAAAAGGATTGTTTTCATTTTATTGTTAGCTTTCATTTTTATTAGTCCATGTCTGCAGCAAGAAATGATTATGTTCATCACAAGGAGTTGGTGCATGTGCTAACACAGCTTAATATCCTTTCTACATCCCCTTTCTTTCCCGCCCTGCACCTCTTGGTCCCTGCAGAAGATCCATCTCCCTGTTTCCTGTGATCTGTCTTTGATATTGCTCTTTCATTTATTTATACTGTGGGTTTCTCATATGGGAGAAACCATATGACGTTGAAACTCGTGTGTCTAATTTATGTTACTTAGCATTATGGCCCCAGAGCACTGGAATTACAGGCGTGTGGCCATCATGCCCAACTGCAGCCCATTTTTATGTCACTGATTAAACCCAAACTCTTGCTCCTATAACTTTTTTTTTTTTAAGAGTAGGAAAAATTTATTGGAAGAAGGAAAGCTTCTGCCTGAGAGAGATAGAAGGGGGACCAGAAAGTGGGTGGCCCACCCACCCCACTTTTCAAAGGTGTTTCATACAGCAGAGCCATGTGGTGAGGCGGATACAAAGTGGGAGAAAACTCTAAGACCCAATGGAAATTTACAAGGTGGGCATGAGGTGGGACAAAACCATGACCAACCAATGAGATTACAAGTGCAATCACCTAGTTGATATTGATTAAGTGGGGGTCAGATGGGGGAGCAAGTCACATAGCAAGCATACCAGGATTTTCAGTAAGGGTGGGTCAGGGATATTTCCTGGAGAGGCTGGGTTAAGACCTTGACCCCTCATCCAGGTGATTGATACCTATTTAGGATATCAATCACTGCTATTTATCCGCAGGGGAAGCACAAGGGTGTGTAGTCTCTTCTCTCCTTTTACAATTCTGGCCTTCAGTGAATGTGTCTTCACTGTCCTCCATGTTGGCTGTTGGCTCCTGGGCTGGCCCTAACTGCCTACAAGATATCTAATTAACTTACCTATCTGCATTATTCCCCCCTCTGAAGAAGGACCCCTAACTGCTGTGAGGGGCAAAGAGCGAAGACCATTCTGGCTACTTCCTGCTGAAGAGGGTCGTAGTTGTGATCAGCAGTCAGAGTTACTCTACAGAGTCTATCTAAAGGCCCTCGATAGGTGCCAGGCATTGTCTTCTTGGTAGCTGTATAACTTTGAGTCTGGAGGAGACAAAGCCAAAGAAACAGTTAATACATGGGCCAAATTATAAGGTCAGCAGGACTGCTATGAATATAGCCAACAAGGGTCTCCACCGGGAGGAACTAGTAATAGCCTCCCACAAAGAGGATAAGGAGAAGGTCCAGGGCACTCAGAATCCAACACAGAAATCCTATTGTATCGTTTAGCAGTTATGAGCTGTTTGCAAGGTCGATCTGGTGGATCCCAGTAAAAGAAGTCTAGCACATTTGTCACTGGTTCCATTTGTATGACTGCTTGGAGTTTGGCAGCCTCTAGGCAAAAATAAACAAAACTTTTAAGAAATTAGAGCATGTATAATCTAAGCATGAGCACACTAGAATGGAAGGGCAGGGCCGGGGATTTAGTTCAGTGGTTTCGTCGCCTGCTGGGCAAGCGCAAGGACCCAAGTTCGATCCCCAATACCCGATACCAAAAAAAAAAAAAAAAAAAAAAATGGAAGGGCAGGTTGGGAAAAAAGTCACACTTAGAAATTCAAATAGTGTCCTATGACATTTTAATGGCTTCAGGAGGTTCCTGGACTGTCATACTCTGGTCTCCCTTGCAGCCAATCTCGAGTCCTGCTGGTGGTGCCACTGAGCAGGGCCTGGAAGGGGCTGCAGGCTTCACTTAGGTCCCAGGCAGGAAGTCTGACAGACAGGGAGTCACCGCCCACCACTTTTATTTCTACTTCCTCTTCTGTCTCTAGCGGGCCAATCGCCCCTTGACACTTTTGGGTCAGCGTGTAACCCATTTAGAAGACTCAAAAAGGCAGGACCGGCTGGACTGGATCAGAGCCAGTACTGACAGTGGCCTAAGGAGCAGAAAGAGCCAGGCCACAGCTGGAAAAGAAGGCGGACCAAAGAGAAGCCCCTCCCCGCAGTGGATTCTTTCCATGGGCCTCAGATCCCTCCAGAAGTACACTGGTGTCCTTCAAATGGTCCTTTCCCTACTAGGTTGATGTCAAGATGTAGATCTAGAATGTCCCCCAAGGCCTCATGTGTGGAGAGCGGGGCTTTGGGAAGGAGAGGGGATCGTGGGGGTGGCGTCCTTCTCTGTGGATTAATAAACTGACGGATTAGTAGCTGAGTGTGCTGTTAGGAGGAGGGATCCCAACAGCGTGGCCAGCCCAGGGCGTGGCCTGGACGTATATTCTGTACTGCACTGTACTGTATCTCCCTCCCTGCCACCTCCCTTCTCTCTCTGCTTGCTGGCCACCTTGGAGTGAGCAGCTCTCCTCCCCCTACCCTTCCACCATGCTCTTTCTGCCTTGGAGTCAACTCACCATGGACAGGAACCTTTAAAAACTGTGAGCCAAAATAATCCTCTCCTCCTTAGAGTTGTGGGTGTTGGCCATTTTGTCCTAGCAACAGGAAAATAAGACAGTTAAATTGGGTGGCTGATGCTTAAGCAAAAAGGAACCTGACCAATAGAATTCATTGAAATGCTTCACAGTATGCTGCAGAGAAAATAATAAAATAATAATAAAATAATAATAATAATAATAATAATAATAATGCTTAGAAAAACAAAATCATGACTTGAGAACCAATAGCATCCTGGGCTACAGGTCATACTTGTTCTTTCCCGACATGATTTTACCTAATTCTCACAATAGTCCTTTAAGATCGGTACCACTATCATTTTTCAAATGAAGAAATAAAGCCTCAGAGAGTTTAATTGACTTGTTCAGGATCACATAGCTAAGAGTTGAGCCTTGGGACCACATCCAGAACTGTCTGCAGAGATCCTTGGTGCCTGGTGCTGGGTACATCTAGCTTCTGTTCTGATTCTGAAGACCACGGGTAACTCTTTGTGTAAAATTTAAGAGAGAGGATACATTTAACCTAAGTGATTTGCAAGCTATCTGCTCATTAGATCCCCAAGTTAGCCCACAGAGAAACACAGTCTGATTTTGTTTTGTTTTATTTTGTTTTTCTTGCTGGTGACTGGCTTCAGGGGCTGAACTACATCTCAGCCCTTTCTTATTTTGAGACAGGCTCTCACTAATTTGCTAAATTGCCCAGGCTGGCCTCAAACATGCGATTCTGCCTCAGCCGCCCAAGGAGCTGGGATTACAGATGTGTTCCACCATGCCTGGCTTCAAGTATGGTTTAAATGCAACATATTTTAAAGGACCATTGCCTATTTTATATATATACATATATATATATATATTTTAGGTGTCAGATGGCACCAGCAGTCCTTTCTATATCAGCTTTTCTGTGATATGTTTTTCTGGGTTGATGCTTGCATGGTAAATATAGTGGGCTTGAGTATATAATGACTCCTTTATTGTCAGGAGGAGAAAGGATTAAAATTGGGATTTGCATTAAATTTGAAATGCCCTAGTTAGAATATTATTGTGTAAGGAACCTGTTCCCCTTACAGGTCTTTAATAGATGAGCACAGATAGCTAAGTAGACTTTATTTTTCTTGGTGCTGGAGATTTAACTACCACTGAGCTCCACTCCCAGATCTTTTTATTTTGAGACATGGTCTTGCTAAGTTATCCATGCCAGATTCAAACTTGTGATCCTCCTGCTTCAGCCTCCCCGAATGCTGGGATTATAAATACACATCAACATGCCAAATGCTAAGCAGTTCTATCTGTTAGTTCAGGGCAGCAGGAGTGGTTGAGACTTGAGAACTTCAACAGTCACTTGTTTGCCAAATTTTTGCTATTTTTTTCTGCCAGTTACGTAAAAAGTTTATCATCTCTTTATTAGAAAATCAGTTTTCATGAAATGAACTGTTTCTCCCTACTACATGTGGCACAATACTTTCGTTTTCCTCTGATTCTATTTTAAGACGTTCCCTGGCCTGATCTTCAGAAGATTTACATCTGGGGCACTCGGTATATGCCAGATGGAAACAGAATCCAAGTCAGCAGCCTGACCAGGATGGGGGTCCCGCATTGCCAACTATGACATGATTCATGGTGTCTGGGCAGGTCAGCCCACACTGGAACCTGATACACACGCTACACCTTTTCCCAGGCGCGCGCGCACACACACACACACACACACACACACACACACACGGTGTACTATACCATTTCCAAACGTTCTCCCCCCCCCCCCCCGCCATGCACATTCATGGATGGCCCAACCTTAGTGACGCCAGATTAGGTCTCAAAATTCCCCAGGGAGACTCAGTGCCTGCGAGAGGCAACAGCGGAAGTTCCGACCTTAACCCACAGGTGGCGCTGTCTGGGTTGGCTGGGAGCGCCGTTGGGGCAGCCAGGATAGGGCCAATGCCCGGGGGCTTCTTGCCCGGCCTGCAGCTAGCAGGCAGGGCTCGGCTGGTAAAGAAAGGCAAAGGACTGGCCTGGAAACATTAATGTTCCCGGAGTTGACATGAAGTCCTTAGTCCCGACTCCACACCTGCATAAGGAGCTCTTTCCGGGAAGGAATGACATCACCTGCCCTCTAGGGAAAGCTGAGACCTGCGGGAGCATGGGCACCTTAACGAGGGTCCCCAGCTTCCTGCGCCCCGAGCCTGAAAGGTCCACTCTGAGTAGCTCAGTCGCCGGGCGACGCCCACTTGCCGGACTAGGGGGCTGGCGCTGGAGAAGACAGGAGCCTTGAGGCCCCGCCCCAGCCGCGCACCGAGGCCACGCCCTGCACCCGCCCACCGGCCGTAATCCCGCCCTCCCCGAGGCCCCTCCCCTCCCCGAGGCCCCGCCCCCGAAGCCGCGGCCGCACGGGCGCGGCGCTCCCTCCGTGGTCGCTGGTCCCTCCGCGCCGCAGCCCCTCCCACGCGTTCCCCGCAGTCCACAGGCTCCGCGTGCGCGCGCCTGCCGCCCGCCGCGCCGCCGCCGCGGTAAGTCGGGCCCGCGCCCTGGCGCTCAAGCCTCGGGCGGCCCGAGCCGGGCGTCCCCTTCCCCGACCCGCGAGCGGCGTCAGCCCCCGGGGCGCGTGGCTGCGGCCCTCGACAGCCCCACCGAGGACGTGCGTGGGCGTGGGGCCCGCCTCCCGCTCCCCGCGGCCGGGTGGAGGACGCGCGGCGTCGGACCGGCAGGTGCAGGTGCGCGGGTCACCGGCCATCCCTCTGCGGTCGGGCGGGGAGGCTCAGCCTTTGTCCGCCTGCGGTCCTCACCGGGAGGCGGCTGGGACGCGACCTTCGGAGCCCAGGGATTTCCGGGGAGGAGGACCCGCGCCCCCGACCGCCCCCGGGGAGGGCTCCGAGCCGCAGTGCGCGCGCTCTGCTGGCCTGGCCCCGCGTCCTGCCCTGCCCTGTCCTCTCCTGCGGGGTCCCTCTGGTCACCCGCAAGCGAGGGCCGCCCTCCCTCGAGGACAGCCACTTCTACCCAGGTACACCTTTGCAGGTTCTTTTTTTCTTTTTGGTAAGGTGTTGGGGATATCCCCACCCTCAAAGCCTGCTCTTAAGTGGAAGTCTTAATTTTTTTTTCCAGTGTAATTTATTAGCCACTCTGGAAAACCACATTCAAAATATTGTGTACTGCAGTTTGGATCAGGGCGCTGGTGGTGAGCGCTTGCGTGCTGTGGCCACGGGGTCGTTACCTGTGAGTAGATAGACGTTCTTGCCCTGGGAGGGTGGCGCTTTTTGGTTTGCACTCTGCCTTCGTTTTCACCTGACTCGTTCCTTCGTGGAAGCATATTTTCAGTGAGCTCCTTTGGGATCTGGCAGATGCTTTTTCTAGAAAATTAAGAATGGCTAAGGTGAGGGATTTCCTATTGACATTTCTGGTTTTCAGGTGAACATAACTGGTCGGATACCCTGGTTATATGACTGTTCCCTTGTGTGGAATTGTCTGTAGGCCGAACCACTCAGTTTCCTGGTGGGTGAACCCTCAGGAGGTGTCCCGGATAGAGGCAAGAGCACTGGGGAAAGAGCTACCAAAGGGCTGAGCTCTTTTTTCCACTAACATAGTGTAGCTTTTCACTGAACTGAACTGGAATCCCAATTCTACTAGATGCTGGTGGAGGGACCCAGGCAGTTTTCTGAATGGTACCCCTAATTGTTGCTGGAGGTAAATGTGTGCATAAAGGATCCTTGTAGCAAGCCTCGCAGAAGGCTGGCAGAGCCTGGTGATACCAAATGCCTTGTATTTTGAAATAAAACAACTTGCCTTAAATAAAACAACTTGCCTGAATGACTGTTTCCAAATTCTCACCTATGCTGTTTTTTGGGTTGTGGTTGTTGTTGTTGTTTGACACAGGATACATAGTGAGATACTATGTAGCTCCCTGCTCTTCCCTGGCTGACGCTGGCCTTGCCAGCTGGACATATCCGCTGCCCCACCTCCTAAACACACACTTTATCTCTGTGCGGCTCTTCCTGGTAGCGCCAGCCGCCCACACCTGGGGACACTGAGGAGTCGGGGTGGGGGGGGTGGCTTTCCCTTTCTGTCCTTGGCCGAGTTAGACTGTGGCTTCCACCCTGTCCCCGTGTGCCACAGTAAGTCGAGAGTATGCGCTCAGATCTTTTCCTCTTTGGTAGGCTGTGGGACCAAGTCTCTTTCTCCATTGCTTAGACACTCAGGAGAGTAAACAGACTGCATGGGCACTGGGGTGCTGAGGTTGTCATGCTGGATTCCCGGCCTGGACATTTGGGGTGAAGGGGACGTGGACGAGCTATGGACTACTTGGATATACCAGCTTCTTCCTAGGGATGTTTTGTTTCGTTTCATTTTTGTGGTACTGAGAGTTGAACCAAGGGCCTTCACGCTCAGCCACACCTTCCCCCCCATTATTTTTTTTATTTTTTGGTACTGAGGGATTGAACTTAGGACCGTGCGCTTGCAAGGCAGGTGCCGGAACCACTGAAGTAAATCCTACCCTCCCCCATCATTTATTTATATTTTTGCAACAGGATCTCACTAAATTGCCCAAGTTGGGCTTGAATTTGGGATCCTCTTGCCTCAGCCTCCTAAAGTGCTGGCAGCACAGTTGTGTACCACCACACCCATCTCTTTGTTTTCTTTAATGCTTCCAGCCCCCCCACCTGATCTTCTGATAGAATATTTACAATTTCCTAGGCTAGGTGAAGAGTACTGACTTGCTGAGTAGACCATTCAAGCCAAGAAGTGGTCCTTGGGTTTTCTAAATGCCCTGTGCCAGGTGGAACCTGCTATTTGCAATCCATTAGCACCAGGCAGCAGGGCATGCTGTGTAGTTCAGCTGGCGATGTGTAGTTTAGCAGCATTGCACCTCCCTGCCTCAGTTAATTCTGTGCCTTTGGCGGAAGCTGGCTTTCTTGCCTCTCTGTCTGTGCATTTTTCTCTAGAGGGCCAGGACTGTTTAGCCCATGTGTACCATGTGCCTGGCCCAGGTGCAAGCCACACGCCAGGTGAGGCTGTGCACGGTGGGGCTGGTGCATGTTCCCTGTCGCTCTGGGCTGGGGGGATTTGTGTCCCTCATTTGCTTATTGTTTGCTTCCCTTTCAGAGTCTGTAATGTAAGATGGACCCGGAAGAGCAGGAGCTGCTGAATGACTACAGATACAAAAGTTACTCCTCAGGGATTGAAAAGGCTTTAAGAAATTTTGAGTCCTCTAGCGAATGGGCAGATCTCATATCTTCACTAGGCAAGCTCAACAAGGTATGTGGGGTGTAAACTCTCTGGAGCTGGGGACAGTTTTCTTACTATCGCAAGGAATTTGTGATGATTTTAACAAATACAAAGTATAGGCTGTAAAGTCTGTAATAGCTAAATCTTGGAAAGAGCCCAAATGCCCATCAACTGGTGAATGGATAAAGATGTTTTCTTATACAATGGAGTACTACTGTGCCATAAAAAGGATAAGCTTGACACATTTTTAGCTAAATGGATGGACCTTGAGACCATACTGTTAAGTGAAATAAATTGAACACACATCTTTAAACATTGCATTGTTTCTGTGGTGTGAGAAACTGAAAGTGGAAATAAGGACTGAAATGAATAATACATACTGGGAAATAGGAAGAAAATGTTCAGATGGGAAGGGGAATAAGGGAGAGGGGAGGGGGAAGGAAGAGACAAGAAAAAAGTGAAAATAGAAGGAAAAAATGGAAACAAAGTTTTTTGCGTATAAGTAAGGGAAGAGAGCCCAAAGGGGATTGGATGGAAAAAAAGAAGCAAGAACTATCATGTACAAGTACAAATTCCCTACGATGACTGTTACCAATATGTACATCTAAAATGTACCAATAAATGTTTTGCTTCAAAAAAAAGGAAAATACAGGCCAGATGTGTTGGGACACGCCTGAATCTCAGCACTCAGGAGGCTGAGGCAGGAGGCTCTTGGTGAGTTCGAGGCCAGCTGGGCTGCATAGTGAACTTAGGAGCCCGAGCATGCTGTGCTTTACAGCACCGGCCAAGGAATTGCCAGGCTGAGGTGGCCTTCTCTGACTTGCCGAGGGTGCGGGTGGGGCAGGTCAGGTCCCCTGTTTCCTCAGGTTAGGATTTGGAGCCTAAAAGCGGCACACTTTTGTGGGAGAGGGGACAGTGTTCATTTTTTGTCTTTTCTTTTTCTGCCATGGGCAGCACATATTTATGATTCGCAACAGTTACGTTCATCTGGAGGAACTGGGCCATAGGGCGTACATAGCACATCTCCATCTTTCTTTTTTTTTGGTACTGGGGATCGAACTCAAGTCCTTGCGCTTGTGAGGCAAGCGGCGAAACCACTGAGCTAAATCCCCGGCCCTGCATCTTTCTTTTTTGAGACAGGTTCTTGCTCTGTAGTGAGGCTGGCCTTGAACTCACTATGTAGCCCAGGCTGGCCTCAAACTCATGTTGCTCCTTCTGCCTCAGCCTCCTGAGTGCTGGGATTGCGAGTGTGTGCCACCATGCCCAACTCCATTTTTTTCTTTTAGTTGAGATCAAATTCGTTTAACATGAAGGCTGCTGTTTCTCCACTTTCAAGTGTACAGCGGGTGGCGTTTGGCGCACTTGGTGGTGCTGTGCGGTAATCTCCATGTCTAGCTCTGGAGCATTTTCCTACCCCAGACGCAGCCCACGTGCCCAACAGACAGTCCCTCCCCAGCCTTCCCTCTCCCAGCCACTGGCAGCCCCTAACTGCCCTGTGGACACTTTCTGTCCCTGTGGACATTTGTTATCCTCGTGTGTTTGACTTATTTTGGTTAAGCATAATGTTCTTATGGCTCATGCGGGTTGTAGCATGAGGCAGAATTTCCTTGTTTTTGGTGGTGGTTCTGGGAATTGAACCCAGGGTCTTTGCACTGAGCTACACGCCAGCTCTTTTTTATTTTTTATTGTGAGACAGGATCTTGCTAAGTTGCCAGACAGGCCTTGATCTTGGAATCCTCTTGCCTTAGCCTCCCAGAATGCTGGGATTACAGGTTAAGTTATGGCTGTGTCTAGATGTCCCCCCAAAGCCTCGTGGCATCATAGGTGGGGCTTTTCAGGGGTGGCTGAATCTAGTGTGTGATGCTGGGATTGATGCATGGTCCAATGCTAGGATTAAGGGTGTGTGATTACTAAATCAATCCACTGATTGCTTTGGTGCCCACCCTAAACCCAGTAGCCTTGGTGGAATAGAAAAGGGGAAGAAAGGAGCTAGTCTTGTCGCTTGCTGGTTGCTACTTCACTGCTGGCTACCTTCTCCCTGCCCTGCTGTGCCATGAACGCGGTTTCTCCTCTGCGACGCCCCTCTGCCACACCACCCTGCCCACCATGGACTGAACCAAATAAACCTCTCCTCCTTTAACTCTGGTGTTGGGTATTTTGTCTCACTAACAAGAAAAGTAAGACAGCAGGCATGTGCCTCCATGCATGGCTTTGGCTTCCATTTTGTCTTAAAGGCTGAATAATATTCCTTGTTTTCATTATCCATTTGTGTTGGTGGACATTTAGTTTTCTGCCCTTTGGCTGCTGTGAGTAATGTGAACCTGCATGGCAGCCTTGAGTTCTTTTGTGCATGTACTTAAAAGTGGAACAGGACCGGAGGTTTGGCTCAGTGGTTATGCCGCCTGCCTTGCAGGCTCAGGGTCCTGAGTTCGATCCCGGGTACCAAAAAAAAAAAAGCGGAATTGCTGGTTCATATGGAAACTCTATGTTTAACTTTTGAGAAAATACCACACTGGTTTTTCTGGCAGTTGCACCTTTTTTCATGGCTGCCAGCAATGTGTGAGGGCACCGCCTGCTCCACTTTGTGGCCAGCATGCACTTCTAGGGCTTAAAAAATAGCACCCACTGGGCCAGGGATTTAGCGCAGTGGTTTTGCTGCCTGCTGCACAAGTGCAAGGACCCCAGTTCAATCCCTGGTACCAAAAGAAAAGAAACATAGAAGCCACCTAATGTGAGTGCGATGAAACGGCACTGTGATTGCGAGTCACATTTTCCTAACGTCTGGTTGTTCTGAATATCTTATGCTTATTGGCCATTTATATATTTTTCTTAGAGAAATTTTTATTCGAGTTTGGCTCATTTTATTATATTTTCTTTCCTTCAGTTTCTGTTTTCTATTAGCCCATGTTGCAGTACGTGCTGATCACAGTCCTCGGGTAGGTTTGGTGCGTGCACGCAACACAGCGTCGTTCTTTCCTCATCCCTTCTTCTCCTCTCTCCCCTCCCTCTATCTCTTGGTCCTCTTCCCATTTGCAAAAGATCCATCTTCCTGTTCCCTTTTTCTATCTTTTACTTTGCTTTTAGTTTCTCATATAAGAGAAGCCATGCAATGGTTAAGCTTACGTGTCTGATTTACTTCACTTAAGGTTCTGGCCTCAAGGTGCATCCATTTCCCTACACATGACTCAAGTTTATCCTTCTTTATGACAGAGTAGTGCTCCCCTGTGTATAAATGCCACATTTTCTTTATCCATTCCTCTGTTGATGGACATATAGGCCACTTCCAAGAGTTGTGCTGCTATAAACATAAGTATGCATGGATCACTGTAATATTTTGTCTTTTCTTTTGAGTCCTCTTTTTTTTTGGTGCCAGGGATCAAACTCAGGACCTTGTGCTTTCGAGGCAGGCGCCTGAACCACTGAGCTAAATCCCCAGCCCTGTCTTTTCTTTCTTTTGGAGAAGATACTGAGCTAGAAAAGGAATAGCGTGGCTGAATGGAATTTCTAGTTTTAGTTGCCTGAGGAATCCCCACACTGACTCCACTACTTTATGCTCCCACCAACAGTGTGAAAGGGCTCCTTCTCCCTGTAGCCTCACCAGCGTTTGTTATTATCTGATTTCTTGACGGTAGCTATTCTTTCTGGGGTAAGATGGAAGCTCAGTGTTGTTTTCATTTGCATTCCTCTAATGCCTATAGATATTGAGCATTTTTTCATTTATTTATTGGCTTGGCCCATTTTAAAACTGAGATGTCACCGGGCCTGATGGAGCATGCCTGTCATTCCAGCACTCAGGAGGCTGAGGCAGGATGATCACCATGAGTTCAAAGCTAGCATGAACTATATAATGAGACCCTGTCTCAAAAAAACAAAATACACAAATGAAAACCAGAAAAAACCCTGAGGTGTTTATCTTTTTGTGTTTGACTTGTAAGTGCTCTGTACATATTCTGAATACATGACTCTTTGGGGCTGTGATTTACAAATATTCATTCCCTGTCTGTGGGTTGACGTTTCACTCTTTTCATAGTGTCCTTTGCTGCACAAAGATTTTTATTGTGTTGTCCAGCTTACCTATTTTTAGTTTGAACTGTTGGTTTCTGTATAAAACGTGTGATAGAACATGTTTGTAATGTCAGCTACAAGTACTTGGGAGACAGAGACAGGAGGGTTGTAAGTTTGAGCCTATTCTGGACAGTTTAGCAATTTATTTTTCTTTGTTTGTTTGTTTCTTTTTGGGGGGGTACCGGGGATAGAACTCAGGTCCTTGCACTTGCACAGCAGGCAGCGAAACCACTGAGCTAAATCCCCGGCCTGTTTGTTTCTTGAGACAGGGTCTCCCTGTGTAGTCCAGGCTGGTCTTGAACTCACTGTGTAGCCCAGGCTGGCCTCAAACTCATGGTGATCCTCCTGCCTCAGCCATCCAAGTGCTGAGATTATAGGCGTGCACCACCAAGCCCTGCAGTTTAGCAATTTAGTGAGATCCTGGCTCAAAATTACTTAAATAAATAAATAATAAGTGACTGGGAATGTAGCTCAATGTGAAGGCCCTGAGTTCAGTCCTCAGTACTGGAAAAAATGGCTGCCAAGGGCCACTGGTGATGGCATAGGTATAATCCATTCAGGATGCTGAGGCAGGATGATCTAAAATTTGAGGCTAGCTTTAGCAACTTAATGGGAACTTGTCTCAAAATAAAAGGGGAAAGAGCCAGTGATGTAGCTCAGGTGATAGAGCACTTGCCTAGCATGCATGAGCCCCTGGTTCAATCCACAGCATGGCAAAGAAAGACAAAAGAAAAAGAAATGGTGGGGCTGGGGATTTAGCTCAGTGCTTTCCTCCCACATCCCTCCTCACGGGGGGGAGTTCTGTTTGTTGCTTGTTTTTGTTTTGAGACAGGGTCTCACTGTGAAGTTCACTCTAGCCTTGAACTCACTAGGTAGCCCAGACTGACCTCAAATTCATGGCAATCCTCCTGCCTCAGCCTCCCAAGTGCTGGGATTACAGGTGCACACCACCATGCCTGACTTAA